AGGAAGCTCACGGCCAGGCATTTGTGGGTGTGAGTCTTCTGGGCTGCTGTCCTCACCCTGGCTCAAGTCAACTTTTTAAGTTAGACTTCATGCCTCAGCCTCTTCCTTTTAGGTGGATACTGATGGGAATACAGGAAGGGCCCCTGTCCTTCCCTGTCTGAAGCTCAGACTCCACATGAGAGGACTTCCCACTCCAAGATAGGAGCACGGCTGTCTCAGGATGGAGGAGCTCATGTCTGCTGAGAATGCGGTTCTGTCCAATGAGGTTAGGAGGGCTGGTGGCAGCGTCTGTTAATTCCGTTAGGGCAGCCAGTGGCAGTTATTCCAGCTGAGGATGCTGGGATGGAGGTTTTTTTTTTTTTTTTTTTTTTGAGACAGGGACTCACTCTGTCACCCAGGCTGGAGTGCAATGGTAGGATCTCAACTCGCTGCAGCCTCAACCTCCCAGGTTCAAGCAACTCTCCTGCCTCAGCCTCCCAAGTAGCTGGGATTACAGATATGCACCACCACGCCTGGCTGATTTTTGTATTTTTAGTAGAGAGAGGGTTTCACCATGTTGGCCAGGCTGGTCTCGAACTCTGACCTCAGGTGATCCTCTGCTTCGGCCTCCCAAATTGTGGGGATTACAGGTGTGAGCCATTGCACCAGGCCTGGGATGGAATTTTAAGTGAACCGTGGCCCTTAGATCATGAGCCCAGCTTCAGTGTCTAACGAAACGGCACTGCAGGAATGGGAGAGAGGGGAAGATTCGCAGATCATGCCGAAACCTCTGGTTAGCCTCTGGCTTCCACATCCTTCCCACAACCAAGTGCCGCACAGCCCCTTTTCCATGTCCTCCCCGCTCCCTGGTGGCAGAGGTCCCGTTGGTAAAGCAACAATGGAGAAGTGGGGAAGATAAAAAAAGCTGTGAAAACTGCCCCAGAGAAGCTGCAGGAGGCTTTGCTGGACTCAGGTTTTGCATCTCCGAATCGGAGCTCCATTTGTTGGGTCAGGGACGATGCTTATTGGTTCAAGAACTGACAGAAGAGGTGTCTACAGAATGCTTGTTGGGAGGATAAATAAACAGCTAAAGGAAATTTCATCTGAGCCTGAAAACTGCCTGCACCAGCACCAAATTAAAGCCGCGGCACTCTCAGGCTAGGCCTGCTGGAAAAATTCCTGTGTGTCAGCTCCAGGAAGACGTGGGCAAGATGAGGCACATCCTGACCAGTGCAGGAAATGGCCCTTCTCCTCTGCTGGCCCCTTTTCCACTGTGATGCTAAAAATCCCATCGAAGCCGGTCATCCAAGCAGCGGGAAGTAAGAGGGTCAACGTTTGTATAGCCATTTGGAGGTTTCCTGGAAACCTGGCTGTCCCCCCACCATCGCCCCGCGAGCACAGTAGTGACGAGAAATCAGAAATCAGAAAGCCTCAAATGTGAAACCTCAGTCTTCTTCCTTATTAGCTGTGAGACTTTGGGCAAATTACTTAACCTCTCTGAACCTAATTTCCTCAAACTGTAAAATGGGGCTAATGTTGGGTGACCCTCAGCATAATGGCAGGAATAGAGTTAGTGCTCAGTAAATGCTGCTCTCATTGGCCCCACAGCCCATTCCACCATTCCCTTCTTTCTCTTCCTCCCCACAACCCAACTTCATCATTGCCTACGAACAGCCACAGGACAGAACTCGGGACAGTTTGGGACAGCTCTGGACAGCCCAGAGGTTATTTACAAGCCTAAAAGCAACCAATGCGGCCTGCCCAACCGCCCAGCTGTTTGAAAAGCACAGAGAATCTGGTGGTGCCCATAAGCCACATAGCTTTCTAGGAATAACAGGGGCATGGATTTACAAAGTCACTCTTGACCCTTTAAAATAACACAACTATTTTTTGCTCCCACCATATCTCAAGTGGTACCCAGATTGTGAGGCCTTCCATCCGGTGAGTAGTGTCACCTGGAGAGGTGGTGACTGATTTAGGGCCCAGGTTTAGGGCTGAACCAGGGTCAGCCACTTCTTCGTGTGTTGGCCCCCAAAGGGATTGGACCAGATGATCGTGAAAGAACCTTCTGATGTTAAGATGTAGAGTTTCGACGGCTCCATGATAGAGAGGGATCACAGAAAACTAAGATCCACAAAGCTTAACCTCCCAGGGGACAATAGCAATGCTGTAATGTCAAGTTAATGCTAACACAGCATAGTTTGACGTGAGTGTGACAGCACAGGGAGGTCGGGGGTCTGGGGGCTTCTCAAACTCATTCTCAGCACCAGATGTGGCATCAGGAACGGCCTGAAGGGAGGCTAAGGGATCCTGCCCTCTTGCCAGCTCTGACGATGCCTCCACAGTGAAGAAGAGACAGGGAACCCCTGACTCTGCACTTTCACTGGCTACTCCCACACTGGGGGGCAGGGGAGGAGGAAGACCCAACACCTCCTACCACTGCTGCAGACTCCTACCAAGCTTCAGTTCTTACCCGTGCCCCTGCCCCAAACCACCCCTGAGAGCCATTAGGTGGCAGCTGTGCTTCACCTGCAAAAGGTCTTCCTTTGCCCATGTGTGTCAGAAGGTTTTGCATATTGTTTGCATAAATTTGCAGGTAGGATTCAAAAGGTTCTGATTCCAGTTACACAAGAGAAAACACACTGACCGCACTTGCAGTGGAAGAAGGTTTTCAGGAGAGCACGCTGGAGTCGCTTCCCGGGGCCGGGAGAGGTGGTCGAACTATGTGCGGCTGGGGTGCCCAGAGAGGGCCTTCCCCACCATCCAGGGAATCAGAGCTTTTCCAGCGTTGGCTTGAAATCATGGCTAATAGACAGAAAAGTGCTCTTCCCAACCCCAGGGGAAGACTGGGGAGGTGGGCAGGCACACAAGGCCCACTGATCCCATCCAAGAGGGGGCATGGAAGGCCAGCGGCCAGCCCACGCCTGGAGTTGCTCCCTCCTGGGAAAGGAAAACAGAATCCTGAGATACCAAGCTCACTATTCCAAAGGGAAAGGGAAAACTTGGAAATGGCGCCACGCAAAAACCTGCCTTTCAGGAGAACCAGTCTGTTTCTGAACAGACAGCTTGCAAGACGGCCGGCCGTGTGTCTCCCCAGGGGCCTCCCGCACCCTGGCAGTGTCGATGAACAGCTGATCCTTGCGAATGTGGGACAAAAGCAAGACTAGGACTTGCTTTTATTTTTGTTCAGGAACACAAAGTCAACGCCACCAGCCGCTAAAGGAATATAAACCACCTCTTGCTTGTTTAAAGCAGTGAAGGAACAAAATTACATAGGCAAGGAGGGACTTTTGTGTCTCCAGCCATGACTTCTGGTTAAATGCTCGAGACAAACTCAGGCTTGGCTTTTCCTTCTGCTCTGTGTCCCCTCTACCTGATGGAAGATGCAGGTTTGCTGAGCGCCAGGTGAGTGCATAAAGGGCTGTTCCCCAACCCCACCCTTTCACTTGTTATGTGCACTCAACGAGTGCTAATAAAAGCCTCGCAGGAACCTGACCACTCGCCTCATCGCCTACCCACGCTTTTCTCTCTCCCCTTCCCTTCCTGCCCTCTCCTCTCTTCCTCTTTTAAATACTCAGCACCTCAAAACGCTCTCTGGAAAAGGCCCGGGCACAGGTCCTGCTGTGACTGGTGTTGCTTTCTCCCAGGCAGATCCTCAGCCTTGGCATCATACCCCTCGAAGTTGACTGAGACCCGGCTCACCCACTTTCAGTTTTGCGCTCCAAATACTGAGTGTCTGGTAACTTACCCAGAAGTTCTTAGATTTCCAGCTACTCAAGCCAGGCTCTGATTTCCAAAATAATGCCAAATCTAGAACAGTTTGGGGAATGAAGGGATCTGGCTGAGGGGTGGGAGTTGGAACAGCTGCGGCACATCAGCCTCACATAAACAGAAACAAATTACTCAGCCAAACAAGAGAAGAGCAATGCCCAGCTGGAAAAGCACGTGGATGAGTCTGCAAAGCAAAAACGTACCGGAGACAGGCCTCAATCAATGGAGAAGTTTATTTGCCAAGGCTAAGGACACACCCAGGAGACAGGTCTGTGCCTCTCTCCCAAGATGATGTTGAGGCCTTCAGTCAAGGGCAAAAGCTGGCTGGAGGGGGCAGAGGGAGGAGGGTGTGGTCACATGACTGATTGCCCCACGCTGCAGGAGAAAAGGAGCAGGTGGGAACGGTCAGTTACCTGTTTGTCTCGTGCTCAGTAAATCGGTCCTTTCCATGAGGTAAGGTGCACACAGAGCAGTCACCGGTGGAGATGCTGACCCTCTCGTCTGTCGCTGTCTGCTCAGGGGCAAAGGGAAAGGCAGCTTCTTGCAGGACTCAGCTTGCAGCTTAACTTTTTCTTCTTGGTTGAGTGAATTGAGGTCTCGAGTTTTTATCTTCCTTTCACAAGTGCTGACCCAGTGAGGCCAATCGTGTGTGATGAGGAGCCCCTGAATGACTTGGTGGAAAGCAGGGTCCGACCCCCTGCCCAGGATGCTTGGGAAAGCCTTGCTGGCCAGACGGAGGGGAAGGAGGCTCTCGGAGACTGCCCCAGAGGGGAGTGGCTCTCCACTGGCCACAGCAATGGCTGGAAAACAGCGAGCCCTGGGAAAACATGAAGGTCCCAAAGCCGGGTAAAGTAGACACTGAGTTTATTATTTGCCAGACAAGGGGAGGCTTCCATTTCATTATGACAGGTCAGGAGTGCTCTCTGAGCTGAAGGTGAACAGACAGCTGCGGTGTAAAAAACAGGAAGTTTTGGCCGGGCGCGGTGGCTCAAGCCTGTAATCCCAGCACTTTGGGAGGCCGAGGCGGGTGGATCACGAGGTCAGGAGATCGAGACCATCCTGGCTAACATGGTGAAACCCCGTCTCTACTAAAAATACAAAAAACTAGCCGGGCGTGGTGGCGGGCGCCTGTAGTCCCAGCTACTCGGGAGGCTGAGGCAGGAGAATGGCGTAAACCCGGGAGGCGGAGCTTGCAGTGAGCCGAGATCACGCCACTGCACTCCAGCCTGGGTGACACAGCGAGACTCCGTCTCAAAAAAAAAAAAAAAAAAAGAAAACAGGAAGTTTTGTCCACAGTTCTGATTGGCGGAAAAAGCAAATTGTAAACCCTCTCAGGATCGCTGCTGTTCCGATTTGTGTCGCAGAAGCAGGAGTACAGTTCCTGGAAGACCCTGGCAGGTCTGGTCTGGGCTGCATGGCCCTGGAGGCTGCTATCTGAGCCCCTTCTCATGGGGGAGGGGTTTCTCTGGCATCCACATAGGTTAAGAGGCAGGAGCCCCGGGGCCTTGCGCCCATCAACCCCTCTCATCCTCGCTGCCTGTGACAGATGGACAAGCAGCTCTCCTGGCTGCAGAGACGAGATGACCACAGGAGAGCCGGCAGAGGATGCTGTTACCAGGGCGCTAGGACAGCCAGCACACAGGCAGACGGAGGCACGCAGCCTGAGTCCCAGTCAGCTGGAGGACGTGTGGTTAAAATGCTGCCGAATGGGGAAAAAATCCCGGTCCCAGAAGCTGAGGTCCCTGTGGGTGGGGCCGTGGGGAGAGGGTGCGACCCAGGCCATGCCCAGGCTTGTGATTTCTGACCTCGCCCCAGTGCATTTATGAGTAAACCGAGGCTGGGAGGTGACCCCTGTACGGGGAGGTGTCCGTGGTGAGGGGCTGTGCCCACCACTGCCGAGAGAGTAGCACCCGTGCTTTTGTAAAGAGCAATATAAATACAGTTCCGTTCAGAGAAAACACAATAAATAGGTGGCGGCAATGGTGGGATGGCACCAAGCCTGCTCAGGTGGCCGGGCGCACACTGCAGGAGCGGGGACACAAGCCGAGGTCCTGTTGTTTGAGGTAAAAATTTATGGAAACGGTTCCTTGACAGTGAAATCCCTGCTTGACATTCAGATGGGCGAGTGCTGGCAGGGACTCTGGGCCTCCACCTGTAAGACCCAGACAGTCACTGGGGCTGTGGCTCAGAAGGACCCAGAGGTGGATGGACGTCCCTGCCCGAACTAGGGCTGCAGATGGCCCCACCTGCACCCTGCCTGATGCTCAGGCCTGGGCTGCCCTAGGCTCGGCCCACCTGGACGTCCACTTGGGGGGAGGTGCTGGGGTCCCGCCCTGCCTGGCCACCCCAGTTGCTCCTGGACAGCCGCAGCCTCAGCGCGTCCTCAGCCGCAGGACCCTGGAGAGGGGCTCCTTGGCGCTGGAGTAGATGAGGTAGGCGCCGGCTGTGGTGCTGAAGGCCTCCCAGTCCCTGCAGCCGACGGTGGGGAGGCTGTGCACCGCCACGAAGCCCTCGTAACCCTGCCACCTGCGGGACAGACAGCGGCAGCCAGGTCAGCCTGGGCTCTGCGGGGTGGCTCTTCTTCCCGGGCTCCCACCCGCGCTGTCAGGGACCCAGCAGCTCTGGGTCACATCCAAGCCTCTTCCATCCCCCACTGGCACGGCGTGGAGAGATTGATTCTGGGCCACGAGGGCCTTCTCATCTTGCAAAGCAGGAGGCTGAGGCCCAGAAGAGGAAAGATTCCAGATCTCACCAAGATCCCAGTGCTACCTCCTATCCACCCAAGATCCTGCCCCCAGGGACCCCCAAACGTGTAGTTCTGAGGGTTGGCCTCAATCGTGAGGTACGTGACTTTCCCCAGGGCCCCCTCAAACACACACAGGCCACCACGAAGGTGGAAGCCCCTCTGTCCTCAGACACAGGAGCCCAGCTGTCTGCCCGCTGCTCTGCAGCCCCACATCAGGGGCTGCCCCAGGCCCTCATTCTCACTCTGGGCAGCCGCTGGTCGCCAGGGTTTGCCTTCAAAAGGACTCGTTTATCCCAGGGGCTTCCATTTCCGAGGCGTGGAGTCCCCAAGGCAGGGTGCCGACACCAAAGGGCACGAGTTGTTTAAATTTAATTAAATATTAAATATGAAAGTATGAAAATAAATTCTTCCAGACTGCTTTCTGGAGAAGCCGTGGTGGCTCCTGTTCTCACGGGAAAGAGCAGGGTGGGATCCCCCAGGATCCCCCACCCACTCCACTACCCATCTTTAAAATGCCTCCAAACAAATGGGGGAGAACCTGTCAGGGTTTTGCTTTGAGGACAAATCACTTACAATGTTTATTCACACTGTTCATCTTTTCTTCTAAAAATTCCTATTCATATATATTTTTTTTGAGACAGAGTCTCGCTGTGTCTCCCAGGCTGGAGTGCAGCGGAGCTATCTCAGCTCACTGCAAGCTCCACCTCCCGGGTTCCCGCCATTCTCCTGCTTCAGCCTCCCGGAGTAGCTGGGACTACAGGCGCCGCCACCATGCCTGGCTAATTTTTTGTATTTTTAGTAGAGAAAGGGTTTCACTGTGTTAGCCAGGATGGTCTCGATCTCGTGACCTCATGATCCACCTGCCTTGACCTCCCAAAGTGCTGGAATTACAGGTGTGAGCCACCGCGCCTGGCCAATTCCTATTCATATCGTTTGTCCATTTTTCCAAATTTAAAAACACATCTCTTATTAGTTTGTAAGGTTCGTTTTCTGTCGTATGTGTGGCAAAGAGTTTGTCTTTTGCTTTTGAATAGGATGTCTGTTTCCACAGAAAGCTTTTAATGCAGGTGGTCAGACCCAGTGCCTTTCCTTCCAGGCTTGTCTTCTTCATAGAACCCTGAGGTTATGCAACTTCCCTTAGCTTTTCTTCTTTTTCACATTTGGACTTTTAATCCATTTAACATTTATTTTTATGTACAATGTGAAGTGGAGTAAGCTTTGTTTTCTTCCAGATTACATGAAGCTAATCTCCCAAATCATATGGAATTATCAAGTAAAGCCCATCCTTTTCTCATTGCTTTCAAATACAGTATTTATGGCCAGGCGGGGTGGCTCACACCTGTAATCTCAGTACTTCGGGAGGCTGAGACGGGCAGATCACTTGAGGTCAGGAGTTCGAGAACAGCCTGGCCAACATAGAGAAACCCCATCTCTACTAAAAATACAAAAATTAGCCAGACATGGGCCAGGCGCAGTGGCTCACGCCTGTAATCCCAGCACTTTGGGAGGCTGAGACGGGCTGATCACAAGGTCAGGAGATTGAGACCATCCTGGCTAACACGGTGAAACCCCATCTCTACTAAAAATACAAAAATGTAGCTAGGCATGGTGGCAGGTGCTTGTAGTCCTAGCTACTCGGGAGGCTGAGGCAGGAGAATGGCGTGAACCCAGGAGGCAGAGTTGCAGTGAGCCAAGACTGTACCACTGCACTACAGCCTGGGTGACAAAGCAAGACTCCATCTCAAAAAAAGAAAAAAATTAGCCAGGCATGGTGGCCCATGCCTGTGGTCCCAGCTACTAGGGAGGCTGAGGTGCGACGATTGCTTGAGCCTGGGAATTTCAGCCTGCAATGAGCCGAGATTATGCCACTGAACTTCAGACTGGGCTACAGAGTGAGACCCTGTTCCCCCCCACCCCGCCCCCAAAATAAATAAAAGGAGATATTACTAAAAAGTTACCAGGCCCAGATGGTTTTATAACTGAATTTAACCCAGCTGTCAGAAACGAGAGAAAAATCCTATTCTTCAGACTATCCCAGTCCACAGGTGCAATTAGAAAGCCCTGCAGTGTGTATTTACCGTTAGGCTTCATTTTAAACTGGATACAGTTAAGTCCCCGAAAGAAAACCACTGAGCAATCTCATTTCCTATTATAGATGCTAAAAGCTTAAAGATAGGCAATTGGAAGCCAGTGGCCTATTAAATAATTCTGCATCATCACCAAGTGGCATCGGGTCTAAGAATGCAAGGAGATCTCTCACTATAAATCATGACATCAGCAGTAAACGTGGTGGACCGCATCACGCACTCACAGATGCCAAAGGAGACCCCAGCCCTGACCCGGACGGCCCACAGCCCATCGAATGGCCATGCTCAGATGTGCTCGTTAAATTAGAGTAAGGCAGGACAGCTGCCGCTTCTGCCGCCATCCAAAATTGTTCTGGAAGCTTTATCTAGGGAAGCAAGCTAAATAATCAATTAGAACACTAGAAATCAAGGGGAAATGTTCTTTATTCTCAGAGGTAATTATATTCCTAAGTCCCCTGAGAATCTTTTTAAGAGAAGCTATAAGAACTGATAGTTTGGTTTGGTGGCTAGACACAAAAAATGATTGTCATGAGCAGCTGCAAATGAAAATTTAAAAAAAAAAAAAGCCAACCCCATTCGTTAAACGTACAATACTTGGAAAACTCCTAGAAATAAATGTGTTGAGAACACCACAGTGTCTATGAGCTAAAAATTAAATATCAACGACTCCCACATTAGGATGTCCACACACCGCATCCCTGCCAGGATCCAAAGGCAGAAGCGCCAGCACTTGTGGGTCGTGGCTACACCTGGGGCAGGGGCCACTCAGACCCCACACAGGTGCAGCCAGCAACGGGCTGTCCAATGGGCCCAGCCAGTCTCGGGAAATGACACTTGACTTGGGACTCGCTGTGAGCCAGTGGCACCTGCGAGAGAAGGTGAACCCGTCAAGAGGAAACAAGGCACTGGGGGGAAGCCGGCCTCGGTGAGCCCACAGGGGAAGGAAGGTGCTGGGAGGAAGCCAGCCTCAGTGAACCCCTCAAGAGGAAGCAAGGCGCTGGGGGGAAGCTGGCCTCGGTGAGCCCCCAAGAGGAAGGAAGGTGCTGGGAGGAAGCCGGCCTTGGCAGCTCATTACCTGTAAATAATACTGTTCACTGAGAAGCTGCGCCCATCAAAGGAGTTAGCAACGACCAGGAAGTAATCTTCTCCCACCGAGAAAAACTCCCAGTCCAGAGCGCTGCGGGAACAAGTGGGCGGATATTAGGACACAGACATTGCCGGAACTGGGGGGTTGGCCTGAAGCCACCTCCAAAATTCACGGAGGAGGAGCCGGGGCCAAGGTGGGGAATGACTTTCTCACAGTCACATATGTGTTGGTCTATTCCAGGAAAATGTAAATTAGTTGTTTGCTTAAAAAACATTTCAAATTTTATTTTATTTTATTTATTTTATTTTATTTTATTTTATTTTATTTTATTTTATTTTATTTTGTTTTATTTTATTTTATATTTTTGAGATGGAGTCTCACTCTGTCACCCAGGCTGGAGTGCAGTGGCGAGATCTCAGCTCACAGCAACCTCCACCTCCCGGATTCAAGCGATTCTCCTGCCTCAGCCTCCTCAGTAGCTGGGATTACAAGTGTGCAGCACCACGCCTGGCTAAGTTTTGTATTTTTAGTAGAGATAGGGTTTCACCATGTTGGCCAGGCTGGTCTTGAACTCCTGACCTCAAGTCAGGCCCACCTCGGCCTCCCAAAGTGCTGGGATTACAGGTATGAGCCACCATGTCTAGCCTCAAATTTTAAATTGTGGTAAAATACATATAACATAACATTCCCCACCTCAACCATCTTTAAGTGCACAGATCACAGGTATTAAGCACGTTCGCATTGCTGTGTGGCCGCCAGCACCATCCACCTCCACCACCATCCACATCCTGCAAAACTGAGACTCTGACCCAGTAAACATCGCCCCCCACCCCCTCCCCAGCCCCGGCACCCACCACGCCACTTTCTGTCTTTATGAATTTGACCACTCTAGGGACCTCATATAAATGGAATCGCACGGTATTTGTCCTTTTGTGCCTTAGCTGAGACTCCAGTGACTCAAGGTTCATCCATGTTGTAGTGCGTGTCAGAATCTCCTTCCTTTTTAAGGCCGAGTAATGCTCCTCTGTGTGAATGGACACGTTGTGTGTATCCATCCGCTGACGGACACTTGGGGAATTTCCTCCATGTGGCTACTGTGAATAATGCTGCTATGAACACTGGGGTACAAAAGTACACTTTTAAGAGGTTAAATCAATCAGAGAAGAAGTCTCAGGCTCCTGGCACCTGCTGGAGGCAGGAGCTTGGTTTCCCACTCTGGACACTGCACAGAAATGGAATCACAGTGCTGTGGCCTCCGTGCCTGGCTTCTTCTCTCAGCACTGTGTCCTCAGCTGGGAGGTCAGCAGCCGTGAGGTCACTCCAGGAGGGGCCTGCAGGACCTGCTGGTTCACAGATATTCTCCTACAAGCGGAAGTTGTTTCTTGTTGCAAACAAATTTGCTGTGTTCTGTCTTAGACAGGAGTCTCGCCTGAATTTGCAAAGGGTGCATCTGTGCTTGGGGACAGCTCAGTTTGTGGATTCTGACAAGTGGCTCCCCTGGAACCTTTCCCCGCCGGGAACCCACCTGCTGAAGTGTCAGCGTTAGCCCCACATCTCGAGATGAGGAAATGGAGGTTGAAGCCATGCACACGCAAGCATCTTACTGACACGCAGTCCAGGCCAGTGCCTCTGTGTGCAGCAGCCTCAGGGCTGTGGCCAGTTCAGACAGCAGAGGGGCCTCATCCCTGTGTTTCCCTGCAGGCAGTTGAGGGGCCGGCCTGCAGCAGGAGCTCAGACAGGACCCTGGGAGAGGGAGGGATCATGCAGGTGTCCAGCGACAGGAAGGGCGGGCAGAGTCCATGGGGCCTTGGGCTCCTCACTCCTTCGGTCAGTCAGGGTGACATCTGGAGCCACCTCCATTAATGGCGGGTTACGATTTGGTTCCCATGGAGCCCGTGCCAGCTCGTCCTCCTCCCTCGTCGCTGGGAGGAGGATGAGGATGCCTGTGATCACATGCTCTGGTCTGGAGGCACGGCCGTGGGCTCCGAGTCAGTGTGAATCCGCGGGGTTACTCCTCAATCGGATCTGAGCTCTAAAACCCAGACCAGAGGAAGACAAGCGGCCACACTGGATGTACCAGTGGTGGAAGATCCTGTCTGGCTGCTCCAAGGCTCACATCAGAAGCCGGCTTTGGTTTTACCACAAAATAAGGCATCTAGTGCCCGATTCTGCCTCCAAAGCAGCCCTGGGTCACACCTGCTGTAGGACAGATGTTATCCTTCAGAATCACGCCCTCTGGCAAATGCCCATCATCGGACAAATGGGCGGATGGAGCGTGACTCAGCCACAAGAAGGGGGACGCTCGGACCCATGCGGCCACACCACCAACCCAGAGGACACGGTGCTGCGAGAAAAAGCCAGGCACAGAGGCCACAGCTCTGCAATTCCGTTTCTGTGTGTGTCCAGAACGGGAAATCACAGAGACAGGAAGTGGGCCCGGGGGTGCCCGGTGGGGAGGGAGGGGCTGGCAAAGGGTGTGGGGGGCTCCTTCTGAAGGGAGGAGAATGTTCCAGAATTGACTGCAGCCATGGCTGCACGTATTTGTGGATTTAACAGAACCACTGAATTGTAGAAAGCAAACACAGCAGACCGTTTGAAGGCAGTCAGAGCCAAGGTCACACACAGAAGCCATGAAACCCCTCAGCACCCTGGAAAGGGTTTTGGACTCGGTGAGGCCACAGCACGTCTCCCAGAAGTGCAGGGAACTCCCCATTCTGAGTAGAAGGGCTAGGAGTGTGACTTTCGTGTGCTGTTTTGATAGTAATTATTAAACATTACCTTAATTAATTAGTAAGTACTTTCTGTGTTTCATAATTTAGTTCATAAACTGTCCACACCACTGTCCAGTGGTGACACGGCCGTAAGTCACAAGTGTGTAGCTGCGTCCCGTCAGCTCTCGCAGCTTTCAAATACTGAGGTGTCTGCCTCATCCGTTTCTAGACTGGCATCGTCTCCACGACTAATTTTTAATCACAGTTCATTCTCCAACTTGTCTTATTCTAAACGTTGTTCTAAAAACCCTCATCTATGTTTTGTTCTCGGCGTTGACATTGGATGGGGTGGATTCATGCTGGGGACACACAATTGCCGCTGCTGCCCAGTGCCTGTTTCTCCTGCCACGGCCGCCAGGCCACGCAGGGGCCACAGAACCCACTCACCCCAGAATCCCCAGTGTCCCTGGCAGGCACTGCTGCTGACTCTTTTTCTTTATTCTGAGAGTTCTTTTTTTTTTAATTTTTAAAAATCAAATAAGTAAGATACGAGTAAGTTAACATTGTCGTCCTGTGTAAAATCAGCAGTTCAGAAGTAACAGTGCAAATAGGAAAACTCCTTCCTGGCCTGCCTACACACCCCTGCAGCCCGCCTGGTCCTGGGGTGACTGCTGACGGTGAGGCACTCCCTTCCAGAGTCTTCTCTGCACTTCCATGGGTGCGCACAGCTAAGCAGCACACAGCGGCTGGGCTCACTCCTCCGTACTCGGGTCATGAGATTTCGCTGCACCTCACCCAGCCCTTTCCACAGAGCAGTTCATCTTGGAGACTTTTCTCCTTGAAGGGTCTAAAGGTACGCGTTGTTGTGTCTCTCAAGCTGAGATTAGAGCCCAGTGCCCAGGAGGGGTAGGTGAATCGTTACCGAATGAAACAGGAGTGCATGAAACCCGAGGAAACCTGGGAAAGCCGCCGGCTCCATCCCAGGGTGGGCACGGGCCAGATTCCAGCTCCAAGCTTGACCCATGACCCTTGGCTCTGGGATCTGAGTAATACAGATTCGATTGCAGGTTTATTCACAGATTTCTGAATCCCACCCCAGAGGAAGCCCCATGCTGGTCAGGATGGTTACGGATTCTCAGTGCCTGCTGTCCAAAATGTGGGGCCCACCCAATCTCCCATGGCCCCGCAGAGTGTGTCAGTCTGGAACCATCACTTTCTTGTACATACAGACCCACCCTCCATGTCCCCTGGATCGCACGTCTGTCTCAACGCGCCAGTCTCCGTGTCCTGGGGTTGTCCGGGAGGATTCAACATCACGGAAAGGGAGTAATCATGTCTGGTGGCAGCTGGCATCAGCAGGCTGTGGGCACTCGAAGCCTGCACCTCACACCTGTCCCCGTGGGGCCTCGGCTGTCCCTCCACACGACGGGCATGAAGCCCCCTCCTGCCTCCACTGCCCAGATGAAAGGAGGTGACGGGTGTGAAGGGGCAGAACTCTGCACACAGCGTCCGGCTCTGGGAACCAAACCTGTGGCTCAGGGCAGCACTGACTTCCCCAGGCCAGTCTTTCCATGGGAAGGGTGGTAAGGATGAGCCTAATGGGGATTCCGACATGGTGGGCCTCCCAGAGGTCAGCCCACCTTCCCACTGGCCTGCGGTGACGCATACCTGCAGGTGAGGATGTCCTGGAACTTGACAAAGGCCTGCGCGGTCACGTTCAGCTCGTAGATGACTGAGTTGATGACGTAGGAATCATTCTGGACTTGCATCTCCACATCGTAGCTGTGACTGTTCGCCACAGCGAGGAAGATCCTCTCCCCGATGTGGAAGACCTCCCAGTCCGCAGCACCGAATGTCTAGGACCAAAGGAGAGCAGGTGCAGAGGTGTGGTGGGCAAGTGCAGAGGTGTGGGTGAGCGGGCGCAGAGGTGTGGGTGAGCGGGCGCAGAGCCACGAGTGAGCGGGCGCAGAGGAGGTGTGGTCGGCGGGAGCAGAGGTGTGGGAGCGGCGCAGAGGTGTGCAGAAGCGGGGCGCAGAGGTGTGGATGGCGGGCGCAGGGTGTGAGTGGCGGCGCAGGGTGGGAGAGCAGGCGCAGAGGTGTGTCAGGAAGGCGGCGCAGAGGTGTGAGCGGCGGGTGCTGCAGTAGTGGCTTAGGTGGCGGGCGCAGAAGGTGTAGGAGGAAACAGGCGCAGGGATTGTGAGAGGCGGGCAGAGGTGTGGGAAGGCGGGGCGCAGAGGAGTGTGGGTAGACGGGCGCAGAGGTGCTGGGAGCGAGGCGGCGCAGTGATGTGAGCAGAAACGGGGTGTGGGAGAAGCGGGGCTGCAGAGGTTGGGTGACGGGCGCAGGGTGTGGAGCGAAGCAGAGGTGTGAGTGACGAAGGCGCAGAAGGTGTGTGTGGAGGAAGCAGGCGCAGTGATGTGAGTGGCGAAGAGCAGAGGTGTGAGAGAGAGGCGGGTTGCAGGGTTGTGGAGTGGCAGGCGCAGAGGTGTGGGAAGGCGGAGTGCAGAGGATAGCCAGATGAGCAAGGCGCCCAGAGGTGGCCTAAGGAGGCAGGCGCAGAGGGTGTGGGGAGGAAGACGGCGCAGAGGTGGTGTGAGAGAAAGCGGGCGCAGAGGTTCAATAGGTGTGGCGCAGAAGGTGTGAAGCGGGTGCAGAGGATTGTGGGTGACGGAGGCAGGGTGTGGGAAGCCAGGGTGCAGAGGTTGTGGGTAAGGCAGCAGAGTGTGGCGGAGGGTGCAGAGGTTGTGGATGAAGGCGGGCGCAGGGTGTGGTGAAACTCAGCACTCTCCCTGACTGTCCTCAGGGCTGCCACTTGTGGCAGGACATGGGATCTTGGCTAGCCCCCACTGCCACCCAGGCTGCAGGTGCCAGGTCACCAGCACTCCTGCAGCACAGCCTCCTGCTTCCTCTCTTCCTGCATATTGAGTACATGTACCCCACCCCTGCCACCCACAGCAACCATCTGTGTGACTTGCTTCTCCAGCAATCCCAGCCTCCTGCTCCAGGCTGGTGATGCTGTGTGTCTCCTGCTCAGGCACCACCTGCTGGAAGGCTCACTCTTCCAGGAAGCCACCCTGATCCTCTAGTCCCAGCCTCAGACTTCAAGTAACTCTCGAGTTTTCTCTTACACGCTCTCCCTGGCCTTGCAGTTTGGCCGAGGCTTCCCTCTGGCTCTGTAGACAGAAGCCATCTCTGGGTTCCTGTGCTTGCCATTCCTCCTGATCCTTACCACCCTCAGAGGCGGCATGGGTCTGGGAGAGCGGGTGCAGAGGTTGTGGATGAGCGGGCGCAGAGGTGTGGGTGAGCAGCACTCTCCCTGACTGTCCTCAGGGCTGCCACTTGGCAGGACATGGGATCTTGGCACAGCCCACTGCCCGCTGAGCTGCAGGTGCCAGATGCAGCACTCCTGCTGGCAGCCTCCTTGGCCACCACTCTCTTCCTGCATATTAGTGCCAGCTGTGCCCACCCCTGCCCACCCACAGCAACCATCTGTGTGACTTGCTTCTCAGCAATCCATGCCTCCACCTACTCCAGGCCCCAGTGCTGTGTGTCCTATGAGCACCACCTGCTGTTTCACCTCTTCCAGGAAGCCCACCCTGATCCCTCTAGTCCCAGCCTCAGACACTGAAGTAACTCTCGAGTTTTCTCTTACACGCTCTCCCTGGCCTTGCAGTTTGGCCGAGGCTTCCCTCTGGCTCTGTAGACAGAAGCCATCTCTGGGTTCCTGTGCTTGCCATTCCTCCACAAATCACTTACCACCCTCAAGAGGCAACAGGTCTGGGGCTGCACATGGAGGCCCAACTGCAGGCACCTCTGCCACCATCCTTGAGCTGCAGGAGCCTGTCTGCATGTGGAGCCCGCAAGGCGGAAGCTTATGCCAGCACATTGGGGATAAACGTGGCGGGGCTACACGGGGAACGGGCAGGCTGCTTCCCTGGGGACAGTGTCCCCCCAGGCCGAGCATCCCTGCACACGGTCCCAGGCAGTCATGGCTGAGGACAGAGCTGGTCTTGCTGCGGGGCTGCGTCTCTTCCTTACTCACCCCCGTCCAGAGAGCCTTCTGCCTGAGGGACATTGTGTGCCACCGGGCCAGGTGCGAGGCAGCTCCAAGAGCCTCCCGTGACAGCAACCACTGGGATGTTTTCTATTTGCCCAAATCAACTGGCAAGGGCCCGGCTCAGACGCTCCCGGGTCTGATGCGACCTGCCCTCCGCAGTAGGTCAGGCACCCTCCCTTGTTTGTATGTTCAGGACAGGGCTGCCCAGGCGCCTTCCGGTCCCCCTGACTGTCCGGCGCCTGCCCGGCCGGCTCAGGTGCTGCAGGAAAGAGAAAACTCTGGGCCCAACGTCAATGTGCGTTCTCCACGCCCAGCAGGGGGCGCCGTTGCCCCCCCCGACCCCGGAGAGCCTGGGCTGCAGGGGAGGGCGATGTGCTGCACGGGAGGGCGCGGTGCCGGAGGACGCGGTACTGCAGGGGAGGGTGCGGTGCTGCAGGGGAGGGCGCGGTGCCGGAGGACGCGGTACTGCACAAGCCAGCATTACTGCAAGGGGAGGCGCGGTGGTGCTGCAAAGGGAGGACAGAGGAAGCCCATTACTGATAGGAGGCGCAGTGCACAGGAGGCCAGCAGTAGTGCGGAGGCGCGAGTACCCACTGCAGGAGAAAGCCTTAGATGCTGCAGGGGAGGGCACGCGAGTATTACTGATGGGAGGGCACGTGCTGCAGAGGGCACGGATGCGGGCGTGAGGTACTGCACGGGAGGCAGCGGTGCTGACGCGGTACTGCACGGGAGGGCGCGGTGCTGCAGGGGAGGACGCGGTGCTGCAGGGGAGGGCGCCACAGGTGAGGACGCAGCTCCATGGGCACCAGGCAAAGTCCCAAGGCAGATCCACAGCCGGTCAGAGGAGCGCATATGGGTGAGCTTAAGCTAAGAGACCAAGACTCACTAGGCAAGGACATGGGACTAGGACACCTGGCAGCGCTGAACCCCGGGGAGAGGGGCGGGGCCAGGGTCTGACTGAGGCTTTCCTGGGTAAGCGTGCCCTCCCCTCCTGCGGCTCCACGAGATGTGACTATTCTATCTGCTGGAGAACAGCTGTCCAAGGCCACCCCATGTCCTTCAAGGGGACTCTGAGACGCTCTGGGCCGGTGGGGCCTTCAGCATCATCTGGACTTTGCCTCACATGTGGGCGGGTGGGAGTGTTACACACAGGCCAGTTCTCTGACTTAGCAGAAGGGAAACAGTAATCAGAATGTTAAACCCTGGACTCCTCCCACACCTGTGCTGAGGAAACCAACTGAGTGGGCAATCCTCATGTGTGTACTCATCTGTACACGTGTCTGCACACACCTGCACGCACACACACACGCACACACCAGCACACACAGGCCCATACCTGCACACCTGCGTGTACGCATACATACAAACATGGATGTGCACTGTGTATGCACACACACAAACGCACACACACAGGCACATATGCTTACATTTTTACATGCACACCCATGCACATGTGGATACACATGCAGATACACAGGCCTGCTCGTGTATACACATGTACACATACATGTATATACACACGCAACCATGCACATGCATGTGTGTACATGTGTACGGTATGTGTGCATGTGTGCATATGTGTATACTTGCACACATGCCTGTACATAAGCACATCCCTGCAGGCACACACATGCACCCACCTGCATGTCCTCATCTACACACACGTGCACCCACATGGCAAAGCTCTCCCCACATTGCTGGGGAACACTGAAGAGACATGCTTCCAGCCCTGGGCGTCCTTCCAGTGGAGCCCCCCCACTTCTCAGCTACTTGCTGATGCTCACCTGTGTTGAGGCAGGTCCTGATGGACTGCTGGGGCCAGAAGAGCCTGAAACTCCCTCTCAGGGAAAGCCCCGGAGGGCCTGCCCTGTAGCAGCCCAGGGTGCTGGAAGACCCCGAGCTGGCTCTCTGCACACTGTGTAGAGAGAGCTTACTGCAAGCTGGGGCTAAGCCGGGCACTGCATCTCAGGGATGAGTGAGGTGCCCTCCCTGCCCAAAGGAGCCCTGGAACAGGGGCTGCTGCAGATGGGGAACCATGGAGGGGCTGCCTGGGGCCTTGGGGGCACAGAGGACGAGGGCCCAAAGGCATGGAGGAAGGACGGGGAGTTGGCGACAGGAAGCAGGGAAGGAGCTGGAGGCAGAAGGAGCTGCAGGACAGACACAGGACTGAGGGAGCCAGGAGGGCTGGGTGCACACAGAGTGTGGAGCAGGGGCTGGGGCAGGCCTGCAGGGCCTGGGTGCTGTGGAAAGCAGTCGGGCCTCCAGCCAAAGGTCACTGGGGAGCCAGAGGAGGCTTTTGAGCAGAGCGAGGAGGTCAGATGTATGTGGACAGCTCTGAGACCCACAGGAGGTAGGAAGGTGTCAGGACAGAGGTGAGCCAAGTGCTGTGGGGGTGGGGTGGGGTGGGTCCCACTCCCAAGAGGGGAAAGAAGGATGGGGTCCTTGGAGACAGGGGCTTCGGGAGACCCCTCAGAGAACTCGGTACATTCCTAGGGATGGAGACAGGGGCTTCGGGAGACCCGTCAGAGGACTCGGTACATCCCTAGGGATGGGTGGCACACGGGCTGCTGTGTGAGCCCTAGGGAGGGGCAGGTGGCAGTGCTCTGGCCACAGCCCCGAGGCTGGTGGAGACTCTGGGTTGGGAATGCCCAAGATGGGCAGTCTGGTCTGGTGGGACCTGCAGCACTGCAGCCTCCAGGGCAGGGACTGTGCCCACGTTTCATGGGGTGGTAGGGAGCAAACCTTGAGTTGAATCTTGGTTGGAGCCCAAGGTGGGGTGTGTATTTGTTCTAGGACAAG